AAAAAGACAGTATAAGTCATTATAATCAGTAATTATGTTTAATGTTTAATTATGTTATAAATTTGTTGCATCCCCACTGGATGCAACAAATGCCTCGTTTATAATGGGTTTTATTGGATTTGTCTCGTCGCACCAGGACACGGTATCACAATATGGTAAGGGGCGTAACATTTGCTTCACACGCTGGAGGTATCCGGCCAATCACAACGCACTGGATAGCTGGCCAATCAGAGCACACCTCGCTTTTCAGAACGATTAGCTTTGTAAAAATCGATGCGTTTCAGAAAGGCGGGGCATAGAGGAGAAACAATAATGTACAGTATGTGGAAAATAATGTGTTTTTTTAACCTTGAACCGCATAAACACATTTCATTACACCAAATACACAAAATAATGTTCTTTTTTAGCAACGTCATATGACCCCTTTAAACAACACCAGGTAAGGGGTGTTTGGTGGGCATGTGGTTTAGAATGTCAATGAATAGCGGCTGGTGGGTGTGGTTTAGTGTGAAGGTGTTGACTTAGTTGGATCTTTTGTGTGTAGGTACATGGGTGTGTTTGGGTGTGTTGTGTTTCTTCACCTTAGCTCTGAGTGGGTGCATCAGGCGCTGTTGCTTCTTCTTGCTTGCACTTTTCACACACATGGATGCAGTGTCTGTATAAAGGAAAACATGAACAGATATTTCAAACAACAAAATTACTGCAAAAAGCTCATGACACATGACTAATCCTCATGATACTTACTTATGTCCAGGTTTAGAGCCACCAGGTCCAAATCCAGGAGGACTAAACCCTTTGGCGAACTCTGGTCCCAGTTTACTGTTGAACTTCTCTCTGCAGGTCCCGGCATAGGAAGCTTTGCCTACTGCGTAACCCACAATACCCGCCTCTGCAGAAGAAAAAATGGATAGATGGGTTTGTATTCCAACTGTAATTGCCAAATGATACAAAACATGCATACTAATATGAGGTGGGAAATTATTATTCAATAGAGACTTACAAAGCAGTTTAGGGAAATACCCAAATCGCTTGGACTGTTTCCAGACGCCTGTTAAAAAAAATGTAAACTGGATTATACGTTTTCAATACAGTCCAACAAAAAAAGAAGCCTTTCACACAGAACTCTGCTTTTCCATGGTTTTTCTATGTAAACATGTGCTAAACAGAGTTTTTGCACTCATGTCTTTTGGCTCAAGCAAGTGTTTATAACAGTGTTTCATTCAGAAAGCATAATTTACGATAGTTTTAACAGTGTTATTTTAGTAGCCTACAATTTAAAAAATAGTTTTTATTAATATCTTGAGATTGTTGTATTTTATAAATTCTGTTTTCATCTTATTTTTTTTAAAGTTTTAGTAATTTTGTTGATTTTTGTCTTTATATGTGACCCTGGACCACAAAACCACTCAAAAGGGTCAATTTTTCGAAATTGAGATTTATACATCATCTGAAAGCTGAATAAATAAGCTTTCCATTGATGTATGGTTTGTTAGGATAGGACAATATTTGGCCGAGATACAACTATTTGAAAATCTGGAATCTGAGGGTGCAAAAAAATCGAAATATTGAGAAAATTGCCTTTAAAGTTGTCCAAATGAAGTCCTTAGCAATGCATATTAATGATCAAAAATGAAGTTTTGATATATTTACGGTAGGAAATGTACAAAATATCTTCATGGAACATGATCTTTACTTAATATCCTAATGATTTTTGGCATAAAAGAAAAATCGATAATTTTGACCCATACAATGTATTTTTTGGCTATTGCTACAAAAATACCCAAGCGACTTAAGACTGGTTTTGTGGTCCAGGGTCACATATGTGTTTGTGTAGTTTTCATTTTCATTTCAGTTTTTGTTATTTTAGTACATCAAGGTAAACTAAATAATGAAAAATGCTGCCTTGGCAACTAGCTGAAATAAGTTTTCATATATATATATTATTTCATTTCAGTTAACATTTAAACAAAACTGCCCAAACTACCCCTGAACTCATGGCTCAAACCCAACAGCTTTGTGTAATGAATGCATGTTTACATTATTTGTAGGCTGAATCTTACCGCTGTAAATGAGGCCACCAGACACAGCCATGCTGCCGGCAGAGAGTGGAAGAGCTGTGGAGACATTAACAGGTCTGTCTGAGGTTAAAAAGCAACAAATATAGATCTAAGCATTCAACATCTGAATACCAAATGGTTCCTTTGGTAAATTCAGATCCAGAAGTCACCACTCAATGTAAACACGTAAATTCTCAATCGGAGGTGCAAGACAAGAAGCAATCTGAGGACACTTCAGTGTTTCCAATATGACTTACTGGGGCTCTAGAAATGATTCGGAGGAAGAAATTATTCCTGCTATACTCCAGAGGGGCTGATCAGATTAAATGTTGCTTGTATAAGTGCATTGATGATGGATATTTTACATCTTATTTTACCTTCCAATTCTAAATATTTGGTTACAATGGACAACTGGGTCACTGAAAGTAGAGACTGAAATAGTATTTTCTTGGAAAAATGTACTCCTTGTAATCTTTGTAATACATATCGAACAAATGGTTTAACTGAACAGAACAAAAACATCATGGTCTATCTCCATTAAAGGGATAGTTAACCCAAAAATGAAAAATATGTCATTATTTATTCACCCTTTTTTTCTTCTGTGGAACAATATGTAATGTAAGTCTATATGTAAGTCAACCAAAACAGTTTGGCTACCAAAATTCTTAAAAATATCTTCTTTTGTGTTCAGCAGAAGAAAGAAAGTCATACAGTTTTGGAATGACATGAGGGTGAAAAAATTATTATGGCATTTTAATTTTTGGGTTAACTAAGGGATAGTAAATGCGCACAAGTGTGTCTATGTATCTTTACCTCGATACCAGAAGCTCTCGTACTGACACTCCTTCCATATCTTCTTTATATCTTCTCTAGGAAAGTGTGGATCAGCTATGGGGCACTGGAATTGCTGTAACAACAAAAAGGTCAGAGAAAAGGAAAATCCTCTCTTAATGGAGATGCTTGGATTACAGGAAGCCCCCATTCATCAAGCTATTTGCCTATGTTAAACAATCATCCCGTGGTACTTTGAAACCTGGTATATTCTGTACTTTTGAGCACATTTCTAAATGTCTAAACACTTTATTTACAGCTTTCTGGCTCTGTGTTTACCTGGTGACCATACAGTAAATGCAGGCCTGATATCACAGGAAGTGAGGTGAACATCTGTTACCATCAGTCTACATGCTATCAACCACATGAACGTTGGTCTGAACAAACATTCAAATACTAAACGTGAATTTTAGCTACTTATATTGAGCTTTGACACAAAGAACACTGCTCTCAATGAAGGCCTACATTAATGTTAAAGATCTTTTTATTCATTATTATAAGCAGCTACATGAATATTTAGCTGCAGTCTTTCTGAAAGATAAACAAACCTCTCAACACTCTCTTACCTTCCACCCAGACTGACCAGGTTTTCTGTCCACCACTCCTTCTCCTCCTGTACTCTGATTTCCTTCTGTACTCATGTCTTTTTCATTCATGCGCTCCTCTCTTTTCTTTTTGTCTGCTATGCTTCTTCTTCTACTACATAGTCACTCTTTTGTTTTTTTTTGTTTTGTTTTTTGACCTCATAGAGCTCCTCCTCTCCATCAATAGCTGTGTCATGCACCTCCCATTGGGGGAAGTGCTGTAATGTCCTGTAGTTTCAACCCAAATCCAATGTCATGTTTGCCTTGCAAATTACACACACGTGAACACTGTGCTATGCTATTTGAATTTATATAACAATCACTGGATTTAGTGTTTTATGAATTGTGTACATATGAATAGTTTTGAAAAAATATGTAGACGTAATGATTTGAACCCTTCACCCATTTCTGTTCTTTATAGCACTAGCAGTCACTTCAAAGTGCTGCTAAGACATAATACTTAATCATGCTTAAAAGACATTTAAAATAATCTGTCGAAGGATGAAGATAAACACTGAAAAGAAAAACTGGTGTAGGATTTACTTTGAAAATTTTTCACAAGAAATTAGTAGTAAATTTCACAAATAATTACAAACAAACAACTAACATTGTATTAAGCATTACATTTTTAAGTAGAAATATTTTCCTGAAAAACACACTCCAATATTTTTTTATTTACAACTTTGAAAAAACATTTTAATAATGTATCTTCTACATCTTCAAATGATGTGATATGATTTAACCTTCAATTGCTTATGTTTCACCAATGTCAAAATTTCCTTTCAGTGTCATCTGTGTGTAAAGTGTGCCGATTTCCTGTTTTGACACGTACTCTTGTCAGGGAGCTCACCTCTGTCCAACATTCACTGCCTGCTCTGATAAATCTTTATCAGACAATATTAGCCTAGTTAGACACACCCTTGGCCACTGTAGCACTCAAGCACTGTATCTCCCATTTTCATAAATGTGGAAGAATAGGTTATAGGTTATAAACACTGCTTCAAACTTTAGCAGTTGAGGGCCTGACCAATCCAAGAAAGCCTTTTTTGAAGACATTTGTTATTTTCAGGTCATAAAGCAGCAGGAAGATAAGAAAGAGGAAACATTAATAGACTTCCAGATAAACATTAATAGCCTTCCAGATAAATAAGGCTGCATCAACTCAGATTTGCAATAGCTCACTTACATGGCTTGGCAATTTTATATCTAAATGCTGTACTTGAATCTACAAAGCACAGAGAGAGAAATGACGTTCAGTCTGAGGTCAAATATGGAGACACACGTTGTGTCTATGATAAAACTACATATTCTAAATTGTGAAAACCCTTTACATGTCAATTTCAATAGACATGAATATTCAAAGTCACAGTTTTCTTATGTTTATACTAACACAGAATGCTTCTATTCACATGTGCTTTATTAAATACACATGACAGTGAATCCATCTTTGTTAAAAAAAATATATATACTGGCAAACAGTTACGTTGGTCCATGGCAAGTAAAGCAATGTGTCTTTTTAAAATGAACATTTTAAACATATTTTGCGTTTCTTGTCTGCTTCATTCAAAATTACAGAAAAGCGAAATGACAAAAAGAGTTATAAACCACTTGTATAGATATACCACAATTGATTTTAGAATCATTCCTATCTCTTAACATCTTTTAAAGTTGTTGATTCTTTCCACAAACATTTTTAATGTGTGAAAGATTTGAAAAGAAATAAAACTGCGATTAATCTGTAAACATACATCACAGCGTGTTACAGGCACCTGACTGCTGAGAAAAACAAAATACCACATACGAAACCAACGTTGCAAAGGTACTTACTTATAAAAATATATTTCTTTTTTTTTATTAACAGAAAATAACGTACTTTGAAAAATAGCATAAAAAAAAGAAAAAAAGATTGTGTTTCTCTCCACGGAAGTATTTAATAAAGAAAAGAAAAATATATATGGTTTATAAAGAAACATGAGTGTTATAATTAAAGGAGCAAGTTCACTTCCGGAAAGAAAATTCTGTCTTCATTTACTCACCCTCCACTGCACGAGTAAATCTGATCAGTGCACATCTGAACAGTTGATACGCACCATTGACCTCCATAGTATTTATTCCTACTATGGAGGTCAATGGTGCCCATCAACTGTTAGGATACTTTCATTTTTCAAAGTATCTTCTTTTGTGTTCAACAGAAGAAAGAAACTTCAAAACAAGTGACTATTGTATCCATGTGACTCCTCTGAGTTTGTGTATTTGTAGTAAACATTATATTACAATCGCCTTACAAAAATAAAAATGTTATGTTTTTATTCACGTTATACTACTTAATACATAGAGTATTATCATAGAGCCACTTGCAATTTTATTTCTTTCGTTTACCGATTAGACAGCCCCGTACAAACGGGGTATCAAAAAATTAATTGATACTCATTGTTTTTCTTCCCACGGAAATCTTTAGTAAAAGGCGAAAGATTTATACGATCTGAGAAGAAATATGAGTGTATTGATTCCAGAGCGTTTCGGGTACAGTATGAGAGTAGTCTAGACACAAACATCAATGACGGTGACCACATAGCGACCATTACAAATAACACCAACTAAATTAATACATTATAATAAACAAATAAATCTACCATAATTTATATTTAAGATGCATATAAGCACATAAAGCACTAAATATGATAATAATAATTTAAAGTTAAGCGTGCAATGCATCTTGGGAGTTCAAACTGCGTGTCTGCGTTAGCCACGTGACTTTACGCGTCTTTAAACGCCCATCCCACTGACTTCTATGAATGATACTGTTCTGTGGCCCCTCCACACTTTTTTTTTCTTAAAGGGGTCATATGATGCGATTTCATTTTTTCCTTTCTCTTTAGAGTGTTACAAGCTCTTGGTGCATAAAGAAGATCTGTAAAGTTGCAAAGACTAAAGTCTCAAATCCAAAGAGATATTCTTTATAAAAGTTAAGAGTTAGCCACACCTACCTAAAACGGCTCGTTTGAACACGCCCCCACATATCTACCTCACTATGTGGGAAGATTTGCATAACGCCACCCAAATGTTCACGCAAAGAAAGTGTTTTTTTTACTTTAAACCGCATAAACACATTTCATTACACCAAATACACAAAATAATGTTCTTTTTAGCAGCATCATATGACCCCTTTAAGGTCACTCCCATACAGTCTATGGTCACTCCCCGTTTTTGTTTTCCGTGGTTCACAAGATCGGAACTTTAAAACAAATTGCCCTTATACAGCTGAATTATAAAAAACACATGATCATCGCCATTATATAAACTGTAGCTATTCTACACAACTATAAATTATCTCACTCGGCTTTTTTTCATTTTCATAGAGCTATAATAACGACACAAACTAATAAAATGACTAATAAAATAACTTGCGCCCCCTGCTTTACGTGTATATGAATTCACGTGGTATTTACATATAGGGATATTTCACATAGGCCTATTCCTCTATTGTCCAATAAATCGAGATACTTGAACTGGGGTTAGTGGTCTTATCATTTTAATAATAAAAAGTATGTACGAGCTTTATTTAAACAAAGAGAATGTATGAGGTAAGAGAAACAAGCAATCAACAGATTGTTGGTATGAATCTTTTAACCTCACTTTATAAATTTAATAAACCTGTATATAACTAATCAACCTGCCTGCACTACATCCTCACAGTGCTCTGGTTCCCATCTCACTGCTAAGACTTCCATCAACAGGACAGAGCACGGTTTGAATGATTAACCCCTAATTACGGATTCCCCCATAAGTAGTCGAAACATAAGACTGGGAAAGTAATATTTTTTTTACCTCGTCTCCTCCACTAGTACAGAGCTTTTAAACATTTCAGTAACCAGCTAATCAAGGAATAGTTTCCACCTGCTTCACTGGATGCTGGTCAATTGTTCGCTTGAAAGTGTAGCAATAGTGGACAGCTCGAGTCCTTTCTGTTTCTTTCATCAGCGGAGGGAACTTTGACAAAACGTAAATACTGACATATAATTTTATTATAGATTTAAATATTATAAATATATCACAAAACCATATTTTGTTGGGTTCTTTGCTGGCCTGGCATAGACCTTAGTCAAGGTAGCACCATATTTAATCTCTGACAGGAATGAACACGAGGCTGGAAATGCTGCTCGAGGATGGAAGTACAGTCAGAGGGTTCAGTGGATTGTACTAGGCTATTGCTTAACAACATACGGATTGCTCGGCTGACGAAACATCTTTCCAATAGATTTTCAGTAGGCATAAATAGCCTAAATAAAATAATAAATCAATAAATAATAATAAAACAGTTAATAAAACAGTTTTTGAAAGTTGTGAAAATTGCATGTGATCTAAGACCTTTATACGGCACACTGTAAAGTCTCACAGCCTTGTTATCATCCACGTAAAATTTAATATGGCGTCTATGCTAAGGTCTGTGGTTCAATGAAGAGCCTTTTAACATCCATGGAAACGACTGCACAAAAGATTCTTTATAGTGGAAAAGGTTTTTCATATTATTAAAATGTTCTTCACACTAAAAAAGTTTCTTTTATTAACTGCTTACAGAAAGGTTTTCTTTGTAAGAGTGTAAGGGCACAATGAGCCATCTGTGCTAGGGGGCGCCAAGAGACCTGAGAGAAATGCGAGATACCTGAACTGGGGTTAGTCAAGTAGGTATAACTGCAGACCGGAGATCTCCAAAATGGGGCGTGAACTCCAAAAGTGGGCAGAACCTCCAAAATGGGGCGGGGTCTCTACGCGCAAAGACTTTCACCATTGGCTCTGGCTTCGGCCAATTGTTATTGACTTACATTTCAAAATAAAACTTTATAAATTAAACATTGTTTCTAGTTCATCTAAAATAAAATATGCTAAAATAAGTAAATATTCTCAGTGAGAGCAGAGCCCAAAGCTTGTGCCAGTGGTGTTCGGACTGGAGTTTGAACCTCTGCTTCATGATATAAACGTGCTTCATGATGTAAACGGGAATCACCCACGAGCTCTCCCGCGAGCCGTCCCAGCGCAGCGCAGGGGAAAGATTTCACTCTATCGCTTTTTTCTAAGCAACTGGGGCGTCCCGGGGCTCGAAATTCGCAGGGTAGGAGTGGGTAGTGACGCTGGGTGTAACTAAACAGGTGCCATTGTCCGGTGAGGTCCGGTTGGGGAGTTATGGAACGATCTCATATCGCATAATCTTATTAACTGTTTATCTCCTGAACTGCATCTTTCTTTACCACGCTATTCAGCGCCAATCCCGCCGTGCAGTCAATTTCACTGGTTAAGGTTAGGGTCAGGTGTGGGGTAGGTTTAGGGGTTAGCATTTTTTGTAGCATAATGTAGGAAATCAACACTTTAATTGACACAACCAATAAAACCTTTAGAATCAGCTGTGGGGCGGAGTTTGCACTGAAGTGGATTGAGGGAAAAAATTGCACATGCGTGTCATGTGCCTGTCTGTCAATGGGAGGAAGCCACGCCCTATTTTGGAGCTCCCACCCCATTTTGGAGTCCTGCCCCCATTTGGAGATCTCCGGTCTGCAGTTATAAGGTGCGTTCGACTTAATGCCGCACCGCGCAAACCGATCGGCGGCTGACTTGAAGCAGTGCATGCCGGTTAGAAATTTTGTCCGACTTGAACCGGCGCCGACTCTATGACACTGTCACGTGTGGCATCAAAGTACCGCGATAGGGTTTCGAGAGCAGCCGGCTGACTCAGCTGGTGCAGCTTTTTCAGAGCGACTGCAGGAGTGCTGACGCGAGCGTCACTAACGGGAGCAGAAAGTGTCCGGCTTGACGGCTCCGTTTTCAACTCCGCGCCCGACTGCAAGCGGCTACTCTCGTTGACTGTTGTCTGTAGCTGTGCTTCAAGTCGAACGCACCTATTCCCTTCTCCAAGTAGATATAACTGCAGGCCGGAGATCTCCAAATGGGGGCGGGAACTCCAAAACGGGGTGGGAGCTCCAAAATAGGGCGTGGCTTCCTCCCATTGACAGACAGACACATGACACGCATGCGCAGTTTTTCCCCCAATCCCCTTCAGTGCAAACTCCGCCCCACAGCTGATTCTAAAGGTTTTATTGGTTGTGTCAATTAAAGTGATGATTTCCTACACTATCCTACAAAAAATGCTAACTCCTAAACCTCCCCCACACCTGACCCTAAACGTAACCAGTGAAATTGACTGCACGGCGGGATTGGGCGCTGAATAGCGAGGTAAAGAAAGTTGCAGTTCAGGAGATAAACAGTTAATAAGATTATGCGATATGAGATCGTTCCGTAACTCCCCAACCGGACCTCACCGGATAAAGACCATGTAACACTAAGCACATGGTACGTTTTACTGAAATACACTGCATATAGCATACATAAATGGAGATGATAGGCAGAATGATTCACCATTTGCCTTTATAGTATCTATTGCCAATGAATACATTGAAAGTGAATGGTGACTGAAGTTGCCAGTATGCCCAACATCTTCTTTTTTTGGTTAACAGATAAATACTGATTCTAAACGACATTACGACATTAGGGTCAGGAAGTGATGATGATATTTAGGTGTGAACAACCTTTTAATCACAATGGCTAACATAATTGTGGTTCCTGGTTCCTTCAATTTACTTTAGCAACTTTTCATTGAAATGTTTGGATGACAGTAGCGCAGAAACAAGCAAAAGCAACCTCGTTCTGTAATGTTTTTCACTGTATTCTCTCACCATTGTTTTGTTAACCCAAGTGGGTTCTGTGTTGGTGCACAGCTGAGCCAATAGCGTATCATCGTGGGCTGGCTTTCTGCTATGCACGAGGAAACTATCGTAACTGATGGGTGGAGACATACTTTTCAGCCAATCATGTGCGTCGAGGGCAGGGGCTATGGAAGCGTTTTAACCAATCACGTTGGTTTAGAGGCGGGATGTACACAGTGTACTTGTGCAGTGTTTTTGACACTGCTCTCGACCAATCAGTGACACGAGTGGGCGAGGTGACTGAAAATTTCGTCCATCTAAATAATTTGTGGGCATGTATAATATTGACATGTCCCGCCCACTGGCCGGTCTGCAGACTCACACAAATACAGTTGTGTGTTTCATAAAAATGCACTCAGATGCGTCAAGTAAGTACAATAGTGCGCTTTCACTGCTATTCGTATTCTGTCGACCTGTGATGGCAATTGCGAACTTGCTGCACCCTGACAAGTCACCGTGACTTCTTTTAAGATGTATGATTCGCTGTATTGACGCATTTTGTGAGTGAAGTAGCCGTTACCCGAGCATACAAATCATCAGATTGACTCCGAGCTTGCTAGCTGCTCTCTTTGTGTTTTTACTCCGGTGTCTTGGGCGCTTGCAAGCGACAACGACCTTGCAAGGAATAACGCTGCATTTTAGGCTTCTTTGCTCGAGTATATACAGCAATCCGAGCAAGGTATCTGATCCTATTTACACAATACACTTGTACACTAATTACCTTTAATACCCAAATAACCTTAAGGGATCCATCTCATCACAACTCGAGCGAGCGATGCAAAGCAACCGAAGAGCAAGTGAAAGATTGTTGTTTTAGAGCTAAACGGGTCAGTTTTTTTCGAGAAAACTGCGGAAAAATGACGGGGTGAAAATTGTGACGCAGTTGTGTAAAAAAATAGTGCTTGCAAACACGTCGAGTATGATCTACCGCATTACTGTACGTCCCTCTGAAAGATCAACTGCATATCGTTGTGAAAAAATAGCTTTGATCAAAGATAGAAAATCTTTTTTGCAGCATTTGGGTCGCATTCATCAGTTGGGGTAGAGTACCAATTGAAATTATGATTTGAGGAATTATGGGAAATGTAGTTTATTCAGTTGAACTATTTCATTGGCAAACGCAGGCGTTGATTGTCGTTAGACTACATTCCCCAGAAGTCCACAGACGCTTCAAATACTTTGTAAAGTCGTTGCAAGTTTTTTCTGCCACATAGTTCACATATGCGCTCATATGTGAACTATGTGGCAGAAAATCTTATTTTCAACTGCAGTCAGTATAGAGATGTGAATGTTTTAAATGTGTTGGTGTGAATGCGAGTAATACTGTTTCTTACATGTTTGGGGTATTTCATATCCACTGACATTCCTGACAACTGCGTCACACGTTCACAAATAGTCTCGTTATATGTCGAGTTTGCTTTAATTATGCCCTGGATTAGACTGTTTAAACTGGATGTCTTTCATCAACTCTGAATTTAATGTTGTTTCGGGGGCTTGTCTACTCGCTCATCGCTTGTATAGAAAGGCCTGCACCGATACGTAATTTTTTAGATCCGACTAGCGTGAAGGTGGAAGTTTAAAATGTGTACAAAATGAATCATATGCGTATGTAATTTTCACATCGCTACGTCGGGCATTAATTTCTCTAAAAATGCGTAATACTAACCTAGTTTTCATGCACCAACACGTTTTATCCTTTGAATATTGTATAAGGGTTTTCCATTCCGACTGAAGTCAGAAACAGTCTAATAAATACCAAATAATTTATTATTAATATTATTTGAAAACAAACAAATAAACAAAACATACAAAAAAGTTAATGTAATAGAAGAAGAGTTACATTAAATATAACCAGTAAGCATTTAGTAGGGACATTGGTGCCTGATCCACCTTTGTCATGTTATTAATTTAATTAAAACAAATGATAATAAGAACCATACACTTCAATTAGGGCTTCTTTATGCTTTAGAATATATTATTTTTTCCATTGCACTGCATGAGGACAGTTCTTAGACACTGAGGTCTAGTGGACCTTTAAAAAGATGCCATTGACCTTTAACAATGAACATCTATTCATATCTGAATATCGTTTTTTGATATTAAGGCTATATTATCTTGAAGAATATGCTGAATGAAAAACTGCGGATCTAAAAGTAAATTAAAGACTGAAAGGGAATTGGCATTACTGACTTTCTTTGAAAACAATTCAATTTCATCACGTTATCACATACAATGAATCATTGCATCTTTTGAAGTGTTAGGTTACAAGTTTCTGGAATATTGCTGTGTACTTTTTGTGCAACTGGAGTTAAGTATACACTTGCAAGCCTGTTTCAATCTGTATTTGGGTCTCTGTGTATATACCTTCTCAAATGTATCTAATCCCAAATCTTGCGTTCATACATTTTTCTAGATACAGAAGATTCGCTATGACCTGATATTTACATGCTAGAGAAATATGACCTCCACAGTGGCATTTACTTTCTTGATGAAACCATACTTGATAATATAAAGATTATGGATGACAGTGTTGGTAGGTGGCTATCTTCATAATGAAGACACATAGAGCAGTTAAATGCATACTGTATGCATTAGACTATTAGAAACACTTCAGCATCTCACATGGCCTCTCATATTTCTGTCGCTCTACAGGCTGACTGGAGCAGATGCTTCTTTCCCATATCCTCAATAATTTCAACATGTAGACTGAAGACACTGTATGAACATATATATATATACACACCACAACAAGCAACACACAAACCTATGTACAGTCCAGATGCGTACATAACTGCCAGGAGTAACAGATGTTTATTTTTGTATGCCCCTCACAGATTTCCAGCTGAACTCTCATTTGTCCACACTGGCCAGTATCCACAAGATCTACCACACCCTGCACAGACTGGTAAATATGGACTCCGTCTGCATGCACTTAAATATTCATCAGCTTTATTGCCAGATTTAACATTAACGCCTTTAAATAATTTAAACCAAGAGTATTTTTACTGGTGGGATTTATGCACATTTTCATGTATAGTTCATCACTAGATGATTGATTCTTTTGTTTCAGTGTGATTCTGGCAGGCAGGCCTATAAACCAACCTGGAATCAACAAAGCATTCAGTTTTATTCGAAACATGTTTGCTTTAAGGTCCCTACCAAAGTACAGGAACCAATGTATCAAGACTGATTTCTGTGTTGTTTATTATGTGAACCTATTAGAAGACGCATGGATCAAACTCTCTGAAATACCAGATTTGTTCTTTGCTAAAGTTGAATCCTGCGAATAAAGACTTATGATTACGATTTGAAAGCACTTGGACATTTGTTTGATTTGTCAACCTTCAAACTCTCTTCAAACATGACTTTTAAAAGAGAAAACCTTTTAAGAGGCATTAGAATAGATCATTTAAAACCATGACTAGGTGGGTTATGCAGATTTTTAGACAAATCTGTCCTGTATTTGTTAAAATGGCGTAATCCATGATGTAAAATACTTTTGACAATAAAAACCTTCTAAACAAACAGGCAAGGGATAGCAGATGAGTAGAACTACAGTATATATAGTATATAGATATATAATATGTATAATTGCATGCAAAATTTTGCAGATGTGATGACCGCTGACATTGTAGTGTGAATATGATTAGATCAGGCCATGAATCCTCTGTTTTAGGTTGTTGTTCTTATATTGAGATTAATGCAAAAGCTGACGGTGCTGTACTGGCCGGTGTTGCCTGTCTTGGTAGATTAGCATTGTGGGATAGCAGTGTTTGGCCATATGTGAGGTTAGGACACTCAAAGGCATTATTACATACTACAGATTAACCTTTGATCAAGTCATTTACTTAACTACCTTCATAACCCTGATTCACACAGAGTTTTGCTCTACATTAACTTATTTCCAGAACTTTCCTCCCCGAGAAGAGCACAGGCAGCATCTGTAAAGGTTACAGGAATATAAGATGATCAGCCACCTACATCACACACATACACATGTTTACTTTCTTCTTTTTATGGTGCGGTGCTAATAGCTTCTACTCTGCTGCAGAATGTTGTTTGAGTAAGAGAGAGAGAGTGATTGTGGGTGTTAAATGCTGTTTCTTTTTCACCATAGAACCTGACAGAAGACGTCGGCCCAGAGACTCACGGTACAGGTAGTGACCTCACCTTGCATGCTTCTCCATCCCTTCATAACCTTATCATCTATTATCAAACATAATTTTCTTTTTTACTGCTGATTTAAAATTTTAGTTAGAACTTAAAGCGTACTTGATGCTGGAAACTTGCATCATGATGTATATTTTTTTCTTCTACACAACCATTTAAAACCATTTAAAGTCTGTAGGATTTTAATGCTTTTATTCAGCAAGGATGCTTTAAATTGATCATAATTAATAGTAAAGACATGTATAATGTTACAAAAGATGTCTGTAAGAAAAAAAATGATGTTCTTTTGAACATTCTATTCATCAACTGTCCTGAAAAAATGTATCACAGTTTCCCTCTTATTGGTGAACATCTTACTGGTCGCAAACTTTTAAGAAGCTTGTGTATTTTTACTATAATCCTTATATTTTTTCATTATAGAAGTAACATTCCTCCAGGTTTTAATATTAAAGCTTGATAAGAGCTCTTTTGAGTTTGCAGGCCATTTTAAAGGGGACATAACACACAGTTTCGGCCAATCTCATGTTAATCTTGAGTACCTATATAGTGGTATTGCATCCTTCATATTTTTGAAGAGTCTTTAGTCTTTATCAGATTTATAAAAGAAAGATACAGCTTTACGATTTTCTCAGAAAACAGCTGAGCTCCTGGAGGCATACCGTGGGCGGAGCTAAATAGTCACACTTGCACACTTACGCGCTGATTGCCAACAAAAACTTTGGCCATGTTTTGCATGAGAATCTAAATCTTTTAACAGTGTAAATAACTCAGAATGCATGAAATAGCATAAGTAAATGAGGACATATCCCTGGTTTGAGGGAGGGAATGACTGAAAAAGGACACAAAAAAATAATTATCATCTTTGTGTTGTGTCTGTCTATCTTTTCCAGCCTGCTGCTCCAGAGCCATGCCCCCCAGGAAAAAGAGGAGACCCACTGCTGGAGATGACCTGTCTGCTAAGAAGAGCCGGCAGGATAAGTATGCTCAAAACATTCACCTTTCCATTCATTCATTCATCCATATCTCCAGCCTTTCATCTCTGTCCATTCCATCTGTCCGTTGACCTTCCTCTAATTCACTCACACATACACACTCATTCATCTAGCTAACTTTTTGATTAACAAATAAACTAGGTGTCTGTTAAATCATATCAATTAAGAAATTCTGTATTTATGCACGGAAGGAACTGAATGTTCTTTATAATATATTAAAGCAGCACTATGTAACTTTTTCTGTTTTCAGAATTTGCTAAATGTATATAATGAGCGAGTACATCATTAATTCATCTTCCAAACCGCGTTTTTGTCTTATTCCGAATCACTACGGTACACTTATAATAAGTACTTATATTTGGACTATTGTAGCCTGGTCGGGTCGTCACCGCTGTGGAGTAACAGTTCTGCGTGAATCGCCATAGACATAAATTTAGAGAAGTAGCTCCGGTTGGAATGTTCTTCCGCGGGATGTGTGCAGGTCTGTTTATTAACCGCTAGAGCGCCAAAAGTTACGTAGTGCTGCTTTAATGTCAATAGAAAGTTGCAATTATCAAATCTGTTAATTGCACCATCAGATCTCTTTGTGTGGGTGGATTTCTGCCCTCAGAGCATGTGTCTCTTCTTGTTTGTATCAGATGTAGCATGTTCGTGCTTAAATGTGTATACAAATGTGTGTTAATGTGTATTTAAATAGCCTCCGCTCAGTCCTTGTCTATTCATTTCAGTGTTTACAGAAAACAGGAGACATTGCAAATCCAGGAAGCCGAAGCTTTTTCTAGCAAGAGATGTCTAGAATGGTTCTATGAATATGCAGGTATGTGGGCAAAATTGTCATATTGAGTTTGTCATAATACTATGAGCTATTGCAAATGTATATCTTTTTGATTTCATTGGTAAGGTCCTAAAAAGAGTATAATCACATCAGAATCTGGTAAGCTGATATAATTTGACTTGATAATGTCTAGAAGGCAGTGAATAATGTCACCCAATTTTAGGCTAGATTTTTTTTTTTTTTGGATTCAGAATTCCTTGTGGCTTCAGACATTTTCCAAATGCAGTTAAGATGCAAATAGAATGACTATAAGTATATACTTACTAACATGTATTTGGAAACTTAAGTCACACTTAAATGTCTGAATTTCATTGCATACAAAATAATAAAGTAAAGTCAGATCCCATTAAGTTCAAAGTGCCCTGGCACATTAACATATGAACATGTTCCACAAAGTTTGACAACTAGAAAGTGTCCAAGACTTTTTTGTTTTTATTTGAAATGGAATACCTATTGCTTCATATTTTGAAACCCAAGTTAACAAACTTGCATTTTTGTGAAATGTTTTGATTGAATTTAGTTTGTTCTGTATTTCTTTCAAATAAATGCCATGTTTTTAATGTAATGCAAAGACATTTATACATTTTTAATTGTGGCTTAAGTGTCTAAATACTTTTTGGGGCCACTGTATATAATAGTACATTATTTTTGAATGTGTCGTGTAAATAGGTTGTGATGATGTTTTTGGACCGGACGGGATGGAGAAATTCTGTGAAGACATTGGCGTGGAGCCAGAGAATGTAAGAAAACTAAACTGATCTAATATGATTTCATAGTTTACTCTAAAAATATCTTGCCAGTAGATTTACATTTTAATGTATGTTTGTACGCAGGTAGTGATGCTGGTATTGGCCTGGAAGCTTGATGCCCAGAGTATGGGTTACTTCACTTTACAGGAGTGGCTCAAGGGAATGGGCTCATTGCAGTATGTCTGGCCAAACATGAACCTTAAATGCATGTACTACCATGCTACTACACGTATTCTCATCCCAATCTTCACTTTTCCTCTTCTTCTTTCATACACAGATGTGACTCTACTGAAAAACTCAGGAACTCTCTAGACTACCTGAGGTCTGTCCTCAATGATGCCACCAGTTTCAAGCTCGTTTACCGATATGCCTTCGACTTTGCCAGGGTAAGTGTGTATATGCATTAGGACAGATGATTGATGAACATTAATCATCATCCGCTTTAGAAGCTCTGGTCTTCTTTTAATACTTCAACACTATATTTGGTTTTGCCAGTGGCTGTGCATCTGGAACCTTTCTGTGTTTTTTTTTTTCTTCCCTGCATGCATGCTGGACACATCACAGTCCTTCAGTTACAGCAGACAAGGGCTTGAGACTGCCTAGAGATGGTGCTATTTTGGATTGTTTCACCTCTTTGTCTGCTCAGCAGAAGTATCTCTTGTCCAGATAGTTGCTTTTTTTTTCACTCCCTTGGTATGAATTGTAAAGCGACTGGAGCTTTGCTGAGTGAAGCTCTTATTGGAGCCGTTCGATAGGGCCAATAAAGAGGAGCAGTACAAATAAATAGCTTGAATGGATAACATGACATTCATCCTGTCTAGATCAAACAGAATTGTTCATGTCTGGACTCATCTTGTACATTACCAAAGTGTTTTTTTCCCAAGGCTAGCAACTTTTTTCAATTGTTTTAAAGGAGAGCGCCGAACGCGATTTTGAGTAGCTTGTCAGTGAACTACGGCTCTTGTGTAGTAAATGGTGCTCCATCTGAAAGCACGTGATGGAGATCTACTACTGATTACAGAACCAGCTTTACTGACAAGATGCGCATGACAATCGCATTCGATTAATCGTGCAGCACTAGCGGCCATATTGAGTATTGCATTTTTCACTTTGAATGGGCATGACGCCTCTGCTTGGAGAGCCAAATATTTTCTGAGGTGGTACTTGGCATAAAAAGTATCAGAACCTCTGGCTTAGAGTATACGTAGTACACCAATTTCTGAAGCGGATACAACCTGGTTTTAAGTACCTTGGCAATAATGGGTCATTTACAGATTTTTACTTCTCCACCATAATTGCCAACTAAGTATTTTTATTGTGATGTGTGAACTTGTATTCAAACTCTTTAAACTTTAATTTGTTTCCACCCCTTTGCAGGAGAAGGATCAGAGGAGTTTAGACTTGAATACTGCCAAGTGCATGCTGGGACTTCTGCTTGGGAAGACCTGGCCATTGTTTCCAGTGTTTAACCAGTTTCTAGAAGTAAATATTTGAAACTTTACAGTCTATCAGTGTCACTTGAATTTTTTTACATGACCAGTCAAATGTTTGAACACACCTTCACATTCATTATTACTACTCATTATTACTAAAGGGATAGTTGACTCAAAAATGAAAATTCTGTCATAATTTACTCACCCACTCATTCCAAAACTGTATGACCTTTTTAATTCTGTGAAACATAAAAGAAGATATCTTGAAGAATGTTGGGAACCAAAGCATTTTGGTTACCAATGATTTCCTTTGTATGGACAAAAAGCATTTCTTTTATGTTCACCAAAAAGAAAGTCATACAGTTTTAGAACAACACAAGAAGCAACAACAAAAAAGTAAAACTAATAAAAATCTTCTTATATATTTGACATTCAGCCAAATTCATGCATCATGGAATGCTTTTTAAACAGTATTGAGAGAGTTCTACAATTTTATAGCTACCATTTTGTGTTTGTCTGAAGAATCAAATTCACCATACATTTTAAATCAAAAGTTTTAGGAAGCAAATTTAGTGAGTACAGATATTTGACTGGTAGTTTATACAGATATTTGCACATCAGTACATATTGTCTTATATTTTATGTCTGTGAAATTTTTGACAGTTATTCCTCTCTTTTTTCCCCCACAGCAATCTAAGTATAAGGTTATAAATAAAGATCAATGGTGCAATGTTCTAGAATTCAGTAGGACTATCAATCTTGATCTCAGTAACTATGATGAGGACGGGGCCTGTGAGTACAAACACCCACAATTTAACATACCTGTATAGTTATAATTATTACACCCCAATTTAGACATCCATCATTACTTTGTACAATGCAGCTGGAAGTACATCAGATTTGTCTTTTGACTCATTTTTCTCTTTTCTCAGGGCCAGTGCTGTTGGATGAGTTTGTGGAGTGGTATAAAGACAGAGAGATGTCGTAGCGACAGCTTCCCCACACCTACCACCATCACCAACTAGAAACTAATCGCCAACAATCACAATGACAATGACGACAGAAACGGCTTTGAAACAAACATCTAGACAAGTGTTTGGGACAGATGATGGTGGCCCCTGGCGATGAGGGCTTGAGTGTGTGAGTGTTTGCATAGAATGTAATTATTAATGCACATGTTTGTATGTCGCCCTTTTAGCCGGGGCCACTGGTGGTTGTGTGTTGGAGAAACAGCACCTCACCGACTCCACCTAATGCCCCCCATAGCCCACAATGCATTGTGGGTAAGCACACGGCCAGTGTTGGTGCCGCCTTCCCACCCCACTGTGATGTTTCATATTGCTGTGAATGTTTCGATAGGCTCTTATAAGCAGGATGAATTTGGATTCTCCACAAGGCAGGGTAGGTACAAACTCCCATACTGTCTGAGGTTTAGGTAATTAGGGCATGGAAGGAAAGGAAAAAGGAAGAACCTGCTTGACTTTTTACTGAAGGTCAGTGACTTATTACTAAGACTTTATGGGTCAAAAATCGAAATAGCTTACAGTGTCGCTCTGCTGATGTGGTCCAAACACTGTTTACTATGGTTTTTATGTTAAAGGATGATTGACAGTCAAGAGCATGTTACCATAGATGCATAGCGACCTTTGCCATAAGTTTTATTTTTACCAGCCTCACTGCACTTGGTTGCAATTTAATAAAGCGCACCACATGCAAGAGTAGGGCTGTGCAAATAATCTAATGCGATTTTCATGCGCATCTCGTCAGTAAAGCCAGTTCTGTGATTAGTAATAAACCTCCAGCACGTGCTTTCAGATGGAGCGGCATTTACTACACAGAGCCGTAGTTCACTGACAAGCTACGCAATATCACGTTCAAAATCGCAGGCGATTATTTGCACAGCCCTATGCAAGAGTGTCATAGACATTCTGCTTTAAGTACTTCCTGTGGTGTTGCATCAGTATCCTTATCACCACTTACATTCTTGATATTGATTATGAGATCAAGAATAGATTTGTTGTTTACAACATGAAGAACAGTGGGTTACATGTATCTCGAGCATAGTGCCCAGCATGACCATTGTGCAATCACACTGGCAATGGCAAAATATGGCCATCTTATAAAAGAGTGTGAGCAGGTTAAAGTGACTGTGGAATGCATTCATTATATGATTTGATTCCTTAGCAGTGTAACTATACTGTGTATGTCATAGTTAAAATGACAGGACATGCATCTACGTGATGGAAAAGAGAGAGGATGAGAGAAAGCTGTTAAAGTGCACTTTTGATTTCTGTGATGAATTGCCACAAAAATATAAAAACAGGTATCCTGCCCTAAACACTGACACTCCTTTGGCCACATCCTCTTACACCGATCGTGTGGTCAAATGTGATCACCTTAACCCATAGTGACCAATGCCTAGCAACTATTTAACGTTCTAGTTATGTTTGTAAAACTGTTGAGTTTTGTCTATGGCTGTGGCGTGAAGCTAACTTGTCATCTGAACAAGAAAAAAAATGCATGCGTGCATTCTGCAATTAGAGCCGTCTTCGTGAATGAATGAGGTTTTTTCTTTTTGTACTTTTTTTTGCTCTTGTTTCTTTTTTTTGTACAGGTATTTGTAGAAGTGGACTTTTTTTTGTGCTTAATTTGGGTATCCGCGGTCATGCAGTCTTAACGCTTTATGAAAAACATGATTGTGTGATGGTATTTAGAGCTTAAACACACTTGTAACCTCATCTGTTGAGATGTTCTTCTCTGCATTGCCTTCTCCACCATCTCCACCAAGTGCTAAACTACCCTGTACATGAGTGACTGCAGCATTTCAGTATATCTGCAATTTCATGCAAACTTATTAATTTTGTTATGTTCATCTTATAAGGAATTACAATACAGAGACAAAAATCATTATTAACTTTATTAAAGCTTATGTTGGGTAACACATTTTTTTTCCCCAAGACATTTTTGATCGTTTTTTTCTGAAAGATGAAGGTTGCTTACCATAAATTATTTATCAAGTTATTCACACGGCATCTAAGAAGCCAACAGTCTATGTATGCTGTGCATGCTGGCCAGAATCCATTTAAAAAACGTCTACAGACACGTGTCATAATCCCATTCATCTGCACCCGTTTGTGCCTGAGGGAAATAGTGGTTTAAAATGAATTATTTCAACAGATAGACAAGTTCCCTGTGTTATGACTGTTGCTTTTGTTGGGGGAGTATGTAATGCAGAGGGCTGAGCATTCTCATCTGACTGTATATATGTATGGATGTGTGTCTATGTGTTTGTTTTCACTGTAACCTCTCTACATTCAATATATATATAAAGGGGTTTATTAACTAAATGTGGAGTCATTTCATCTGTTTTAGATGTCATGTTTTAAAGAAGGGAAGACTTAGACTAACATCTGTTCTGGAGTCATGCATGGAGACTCTTTCCCCTTTTGCTGGAAAGCTAGTATTCAACAGAAACCATCAAGATTTAGTGAAAGGGACTGAAAAACAGTGATTCGACAGCTTTGGAAGAAAGTTTATAGCCCCATTAATGGATATAATGTGTTGTCATTGAGTGCAGTTAATAGCCTCTGGATTGTTTTAGTACTGCACATCATGACTGATAAAATCAACTCAGTGTTTCTAATCTTAGACGATAAACATTCTTATGTACATTCATACATTGTTTCAATGCAAAAAAGAACAGAACTTCTATTTATGAAATACTAAAAAGTAGTTTAGGTTATGTTCATAATTATATTACAGTATTTACAATACTCCGTAAAAAGCAAATCCTCAACCTCAAAAGTTGTGATTTTGAAAGTATCAGCTCAGATTTGTACAACATTGTTTGTCTGGTGAGTCCAAATTAACTCTTTAGCTAAATTAAAAATTCCCTATACTTTGGAGTTGAGTTTACTGGTGACTTGGAACCGAGTGTTGATGTACTCTGAGTTTTAAGGCCGCGTAAAACTGGGGCTTCGTCTCCTTCTGTGCGTCTGGAAGTTAATGTGTTCCTTGTAGATGCACTGCTGTAAGTTTGTTCTGTTTGGAATGGTGTCACTCCTCCATAATCTGCCGATGATCTGTCCTGCTTGTCGCCTTCTTGTTGCATGGAGGATAGGGATGCAATGTTGAACTCATCCATTTCCCTTCTCCTTTGCTGCAATAATCGTCTGTGTTCTTGCCTTTGATGGACTTTAGAATTTTCTCTGAGATACTCTCTGGCATCCTCTTGTTCTAGGGGAGGTGGGGATGTCTGTGGAACTGCTGGTGGCTCATCTTGTGCTGGTACATCCACATCCACAACCTCATGTCCTACAGATTGTTCGTCACTGGACGAGGAACTTGACTTTCTTAACTTTGACTTTAGATCAGTCAGCTCCACTGAACTGTCCATAAGCTCTCCTTTAATAATGTTGTCCTTGTAAGTAGATTCTGATTCGGCCTTTATTATTAATGCAGACCTTTTTTTCATTGAGGCAGGAGGTGACACCTCAGATGATAAACTGGACCATGTGGTTTCTAGGACTGCGTTTGTTGTTGCCATTAAATCTCTTTTTATTAATTTGGTTAATTTGGTTGAAGATGGTGGTTCACTCTTTGTGAATGCAATGTACCTCTTTACATTTGGGATTTTATCAAGAGAGACACCAGTTTCTTGAGGGAAATTTGTGTCTGTTTTTCTAATGATATTATAATTAGTAGCATATGGTTTAACATATTTTGATGAAGTGCTCAATATCTTTGTTTCTTGAGCTACCCCAGATATTCCAACTCTGTCATCTAAGACAGCAGTTGGTGCTCGAGCAGGATATTGACTTTCAATAGGTGTGAATTGAATGGATCTCTTAACTCTTGGTACTCTGTCAAGATTTTCAGATGAAGTGATCTGTGCCATTGATTCTGTTTTGTTTCCATTAGTAGCTGGTTGTACATAATCTTCAACTGAAGTGCTGGATCCCCTTAATTCTGTTGCTGTCACCTTTATGGATTTAACAACACTTGAAGACTGATGTTTTGACCCTGCTGAGGAATAAGGTTCATATTGTCTGAATTCAATGTACCTCTTTACTTTTGGGATTTTGTCAAGAGATTCACCTGTTTCTCCAATGATATTGCCATCATTAGTCGATGGTTTATCATCATCTTCAGATGAAGAGCTTGGTCTCTTAGTTTCTTTGGCTATCACAGATAGGTTGACTTTTCCAGCTGAGAGAGCAGTTGTTGTCTGAGCTGGAGAGTAACCTTCAGGATGTGTGAAATTAATGTATCGTTTAACTTTTGGTATTTTATCAAGAGGTGCTCCAATATGTCCACCAAAATTGTCTTCCTTAGCAGTTAGTGTGAGATCTTCCTCAGATGAAGTGCTTGATCTCCTTGTGTCTTGAACTACCCCCAATATTCCAAGTCTTTGAGCTGAGACAGTAGATGTTGACTGAGCAGAGGATTGACTTTCAGGATGTGTGAATTGAATATATCTTTTAACTCTTGGCACTCTATTAAGAGACACTCCTGTTTGCCCAGAGCCATTGTCTTCCTGAACATCATCCTCAGATGAAGTGCTCTCCCTAGTGTCTGGTTGTTTCAGTTCGGTTTCTGTCACCTTCATGTATTTTTCTGTGGTTAAAGGAAGAAATGGTGACCGATTCAAGGAATATGGTTCAGATTGTGTGAACTTAATGTACCTCTTTACTTTTGGGATTTTGGCAAGATATTCATCTGTTTCTTCAGTGATATTCTCTTTTTTAGTAGTTGGTTTAACATCTTCCTCAGATGAAGTGCTCCATCTCCTTGTTTCTTTAGCTACCATAGATACATTGACTCTTTCAGATGAGAGACCAGTTGTTGTCTGAGCTGGAGATTGAATTTCAGGATGTGTGAATTGAATGTATCTCCTAACTCGTGGGACTCTATCAAGAGATGTTCCTGTTTGTCCAAAGACATTGTCTACTTCGGCAGTTTTTTTGACATCATCCTCAGAAGAAGTGCTCGATCTCTTTGATTCAGATTTAGTTTTCACCTCAGTTGTGACTTGCAGTGTATCTGAAGTGGTGGGTGACACAACTGGAAGGTGAGATACAGGCCGTTTAAATTGAATATATCTCTTTACTTTTGGTACTCTATCAAGAGAGACACCGATCTCTCCAAATAATTCAGTTTCCACCTTCCCTGGTTTAACTACTCCAGAGATTGAAGGTGAAGATGTTGATTGAATGTGTTGTGGATGAAGTTCAGTTTCCTTAAACTTAAGATATTGCTTTACCTTTGGCAAACCATCAAAAGATGCATCTGTTTTAGCAAATAAATTATCACTGTCATTCTGAGATCTGACATCATCTTTAGAGGTGCTGGTGAGCATAGACTTTACTGCCTTAGTTGTGGCCTCAATTGTAGTTGAAGGACTGGATATTGATAGTGTTGGGGAAGAAGGTTCAAACTGTTTAAATGTGATGAATCTTTTTACTTTTGATACTCCATCAGAAGATACACCTATTTTCCTGAAGAAATTATCTTCCTCGGTTGTCAGTTGATCATCATCTGATGATGAGCTATATCTCGTTTCCTGTATAGCATCTTTCATAGTTAAGAAGGGTAATGATGGCAGAGTTGGTGAATGAGGTTCAGACTGCTTGAAGTGAATGTATCTTTTCACTTTTTTAATATTTTCAGGAGATACCTTTATTTGCGTTAAATAACCCTGGTCTCCAGAGGATGTGTCAATTGTACCTTCAGATTTAATTTCCCTATCAGTTGTGCTTTTTGTAGAGGATGA